TACCTGTAAGGCGAGACGGCGGAGTCCGGTGGTGAAGGAAGACGACGGCCATAGCCGCGGAGCATTGACACAGAGTACCGGAGGAGAGAGAAAGGGAGGACAGAGAAGGAGGGACTGAGGAGAGAAAAGAAGAAGAGTGGAAGGAGGAAATTGAAGAAGAAGACAAACATAGCCGGGGGTGAACAAAAAAAAAATAGAGAAGAAGAAAGAAGGTGAAGAAAAGGGGAGTAGATGGCGAGGGTGACGAAGGTGAAGGTGCCGGCAGCCATAGCCGAGGTGAGGAGTTGACCAGAGCGTTGACCAGAGGGTTGACCAAGGGTTGACCAGGCGTTGACCGAGGGTGTTGACCAAGCATTGACTGGGGGTTGCTCCCGTTGACTCGGCGTTGACCAAGGCGTTGACCGAAGTTGCTGCTGACCAAGATTTTGACCAAGCTGGAATTGGTGATATTTCCTTGACCCTTCAGCCTATCCCCTTACCCTGTGGATGTGCACTTACCCCACGGTACTTGCTGAGTTGTCTGTCTACTCTTTCTGCATTGAGTCTCTTCTGTCTTAGGTGCTAGGACTCTGTGGATGAAGGATAGGGCCTTGCTGCCAAACCTGCACGGGCTTAGTAGGACCTAAGCTCTACTCTGACACTTGGAGACCTGGGCATGAGCGGCGAGCGCTCGTTAAACAACTCGTCTAGCCCAATGACCGGTACTGTCCGGCAGGTCTATTGAGTCCAGTCTGGAGGGTCTGAACTCCGAGCTGCAGGCTGAAACGAAGGCCGTCTTTAAGTGTTGCGGCCTGGTTGAGCCACTCCCCTACCGGACCTAGTAAGGCTGATGATCTGTGTCTGACGACTCGACTGTCCCGAGGGATACGAACCCCTCCAAGGACCGGTACAGACCGGCGGGCTGCTCGGTGTGGCACAGTAGGCCGGAACGGCTGAGTTGTGGGCTGAAATCGCCAGAGGAACCAAGCTGATCACGTCGTCCTGTCTGCGACGTTAAAGAATTCTTGCGGGGTTTGGGGGATCTCCTTAAATGCCTCATGATCAGCTTTTGGTTCTGTAGTGACAGCCTTAGAGTAGTCTTGGGTTAGTAGTGGCCATAGTTGACAGAGTCTTATCCTGTGGTCCTTAGGAAGTCAGTCAGTAGGTTAGTGTGTCCGGGTAGGGCTACGTGGTGAGGAGTGGGACCCTTGTCGTGCACCAACACCAYGATGGATGACTAYCCGATGTATGGGTTGCTGGTTGGGTTCTCCCTCTGGGGGACCCTCTGGCGTCTCCTCTTTCCTCTGGGATTTTGGCATACCTTTGCGTGTAGAGTAGGGCCCACTCGAGGTGGTACCGCCACCCAACCATACACGAGGGAGGAAAAGGAAAAGATGGCCGCCATCCTGCAGGAGAGGAAGGAGAAGAAGGAGGCCAAGAAGAAGGCCTTGAAGAAGAACAGGCGGCCAAATTGAAGAAGATGGAGGAAGAAATGGCCAGGGAGAAGGAGAGGCTGATAAAGGAAGAAGAGGAGAAGCTGAAGGAGGTGGATGAAGAGGAGGAGGGAACACCACTGCAAAGGAGTGGGCAGCACAGCGGCCGCAGCAGCGATGAGATGGAGAAGAAGATTTCGGAGTGGGTCGCCAACTTATCCCTGGGTGAGGAGGAAGAGGTTGCTATGTACATCCCCAAGGATGAGCAAGAAGCCGCCATGAAGAAATGGGAAGCAAAAGAAGATGTTCTGACGCGGCAGGCGATGGAGGACGAACAAAGGATGGCGTGGAAGCTCGCAGTGATGAGGGAGAAGAAGAGAAGAGTGGAGGCGGCGA